TGCCTGGGCCAGCTCACACATCTTGTCGCGGCTAAGGCAAAGCATGTCGGCCCCGGAGTCAGCGCGGGCTTGTCCCAGGTAGTTCCAAGTTGTCCAAAGGCAGTGCTCGCAGAGCCAATCACCTTCCGATAGGCTTGACACCTCGGTCACCTCGGGTACCGAGGAGGGCAAGATCTGAGCCCAAGCGGCGTTGGAGATGGAGCCTGTCACTGGAGGTAGGCGAGCCTTGCTGTAGGTGATGACACCACGCACTACAAAAAGGAGGCTCTCACATTGCCCGCCAGGCAGAAAGAGTGTCTCTTGTGCCATAATGTGCCACTCGACAAAGCAACGGACGCACAGCTCACGCTGGAAGGCCGTGTACTTGCTACAAAGGCTGTGCAGCAAGGAATGGCCGCTGACGACGNNNAATTCCTCGTAGAGAAAGTGAGGCAAGGACCCTGCCAGCTCTTCTTTGCCCGGCGGCGCCACCCGTGACATGTGCCGGCGTGCGTAGCTGCTGAGTTGCTGCTCCAAGCTCTGCGGCACCGGGTGTGCCTGCAGCATCGACCCTCATCTGAAGACTCTAAGCTCAGATTAAGACTAAACCATAACATAGCAACAGGCAATACAATATGATAAAAAGCTCCGCACACCCTCAGCTAGAGCCCAAACTACCCCAGCTGTGTCTCCTCGAGGAAATCGCAGAGCTTGTCCTCNNGCCTCCTTCTTTATACGCTTCAATCGACGCAAGTCCGAGATGTCGTTGGTGACCTCGAGGACGCTCGCTTGCTTGGGCCAAAAAGCGTAACGGAACCCTGTGTGACAGAAACCAGGATCCCAAACAGCTTCTGCAGCCGAGCTGCCACCGATGTAAAAATGGACGCAAAGAGCACAGCAAGCGCAGTGCTGAGAACCGCGAGTAGCCGCTCTGCCTGGGTCTGTAGCTCCATGTTTTCGGTGATGCGTGCCGGCGGCAGCCTTGACAAGGCCTGCAAAGCAGTGCAATTGCGACCTACACCATGACCATGAACGCTGACTGAGCCCGAAGCCCGAAACAGGCCTAAAACCATAGAGTGAGTCTGCAGACAGGAGGCCCACTCCATGCTTCGGACATACTGCCTATGCCACGGGACGCGAGCCAACTGAGCATCTTCAGTCCAACCACCCATTTGCGAGCCAACGCCGAACCACGCACAGGTCAAGCAATGCAAACAGAACAGGGACGCCAGCCCCATCCAAGATACATTCCAGGTGGCACGCACTTCCCGGCTTGTCTTTCGCAGCACGTTGTGTGTAAAGGCCGCTACTCCGGAATGCTCGTAGTAGTACGGGAGGGTGCAGAGCCGCAGGAGCTGCATGGCAGAGACGCTGCCCCACGCAAACGGAGCTGAGGAGGAAGTGGGCCTCCACAACGCAAGGCCCACTCTCCCGACCACCAAGAAGGCCTCCAAGGAACCGGCTTGGGGTTTAGATNNAGATCTTGGAGGAATTTTCAGGGTTTACGGATCAACGAAGAGGCCTCCAAAATCCACGCGGCGAGCCGCCTCCTCGACCTCTCCACAAGCTTCCGGGCTTCGACGACTAGAAGAATCGACCAAAAAGCGATCGTGATGCCGTCAAGGAGGCCATGATCCAGGCCGAAAGCGTACAGGGGAAGCACCATCAAGTCCAAGAAGATGAAGACCACGCAAAGGAAAGATATGCCCTTGGCACACCTTGCGCGAACTCCCTTCTGTCCCGGTCCCAACGGTGCATGCACGAGTTCGAAAGTCCTGCGGCGGGTGATGGTGCTCCTTCTTTTTTGCGAG